AACTATAACCACAACCACCACCACCACCACCACTACAACTATAATCACCATCCACACAAATATAACCATAACCACCACCACCACCACCACCACCACAAATATAACCACCACAACCATAACCACCACCACAAATAGATCCACCACCACCAAACAAACAAACACACACAAACACTCACGCTGGGCTTCTCCTTGTTGAGTCCCTTCCCCTGCACTCTCCCGCCACATCTGGCACAGGACTTCTTGTGGCAGAAATGACAGCTGTGCCCGACCCCGTCAGCGAACTTGGTCTTGTGGCAGATCTCGCAGACGGCGCCCTCGTCCAACATCTGACCGGACCTCTTCGTCTCCTCGCTCAGCTTCTTCACGCTCTCCTGGTACGTGGAGAACTCGTCCTGCATTTGTCTGGGAACGAACGAACGAAGGAAGGAATGAAGAAAGGAAGGAAGGAATGAAGGAAGGAAAAAAGGAATGAAGGAAGGCATTAATGAAGGACTGAATGAAGGAAGGATGGACGGATGGGGGGATAGATGGATGAATAATTGAAAGAATGAATGAAGGAAGTAAGGAAGGAAGGAAGAAATGAAGGAAGGAATGAAGAACTGAATGAAGGAAGGACTGAATGAAACAAAGATGGATGGATGAAAAGTTGAAAGAATGAATGAAGGAACGAATTAAGGAAGGAAGGAAGTAAGGAAGGAAGGAAGGAAGGATAGAAGAAAGAAAGGAAGAATGAATGAATGAAAGAACGAACTAATCAAATACAAATATACGTTAATTGCTGACTTTGAAAAGAAAACTTCGCTGCATTGGTGAGCACAATGGTCGAGCAAAAGAAAGACAACACACAAGTCTGGTTATGGTCAAGTCGTGGGCTCACATGTTTCCCTCCCATCATAATGTGATTGTATTAAAATAGCGTCAAATGTTGCACTAAATAATTGACCGGAATTATATTAAGAGTTTCATCAAAACACAAGTCGAAAAGCAACCCAAAAAAATACCAACAACACAAAAAACCCTAACCCC